ATTGTGGCTAATGCTATGCAGCGTCTATAAAAAGCATCACCTATGAACCATGCAAGAATTTTTTGAAACTTTGAAGACTCAGCAAGACTGCTTGTATCTCTAGTTATACAATTTCTCAGTGACTTATTTGCTATGACCAGTTTCCAAAGGCTGTCTTGTCTGCAAGTTTGGCATACTAGCCTACTATTGACCACATTTTATCAGATCTGATAAGATAATTTTGTCTCTTATTTTTATCAGAATCTCTGCTGAAGGGTGTGCGATCCATATATCATCTATATGAGATCCTGAAGCAATTCTCATCTCCCTTTAGTAGGCTATTAATGGTCTTAATAGCATTGAAAAAATCCAAACTGATTGGGAGAAACTAAAAGATAACATCTGATAATGGTGCTATGAATTTGCTGCGTAAAAGCCCAGAAATTGTTGTATCTTCTCGTTCATTAGTACATGGTGATATCTGTTCTTTAAATCTAAAGTAATCACTGACCAATTTCTTTCAATTGATCTTAGAAGTCCACCCAACCCTTTGAAGTGACATGACTTCTCTAGTAAGGTTTGATTTAATCTATTCAGGTCTATTACTAGCCAATATTTTTTGGGGCCAAACTTTGATACTAAAAAGATTGGTGAAACCTCTAAAAGAAAGGATAGATAATGAGGACCTGTCTCTAATTTTCTTATTGCCTTCAGGCTTACTAATTAACTGAGTTTTTTTTGAAGCCACAGAGACTGCTCTGTAGTTAATGAATAAAGTTTTGAGTTTGGTTGGTTTGCTAATTTTAGTACCTCTTTTGGGAATAATGGTATACAATTTTTTAACTAGTTGATAATGATCTGTGGTGGCTTTATCTCCCTTAACTAATAGTTTATTGCTTCCTATGTGTGGATCCTTCCTGTTACTACCTTGCAGTAATCTAATCACTTCAATTCTATTAGATCTAAGTGAATCTTCTCTATTTGATTTAGGTTGGCTATAAATGTATCTTTTCTCTGATGCTGATCATTTCTTAAAAAATTTATTTTGCCTGAGTCCTGTATTAACTTCACTCGAGTGCAGTCAAAATTTATTTTTGGTATTTTCAGATTCTCGACGAAAAAACCTATTTTTTCAACTGTTACCTTCTACTGTCTTGGATACACAGGCTAAAGCAATATGCCTCATATCACCACAATAGTAGCATACTAGTTGGTTTACTGTCTTGTTTGCTATAACAAAAGACAGAGCTAGATTTGAAAGGGTTGACTAGTTTAGTCCCTCTTGGTATGGATGCTGTTCAAATCTATTAGACCAGGTTTTTTGTACTGAAGAGTATAGAGCAAAATATTGTGCGCTTGTCCCTTTCATTATATATTCCCCTTTGCTATATCTACCTCCAAAGCCTTGAAAAGGTTTGTATTTCTTTGGTTTTGCTTGTTTTCTAGCTTCTATTAACATATTGTAAAGCTCATCCTTCACTGTAGATACTGGTTTTGGGATATTCGATGCCACTCTCCATCTCTTATCCTCTGCAGTTCTCAAGATAAATACCCTTATTTTTAATACATTGTAGGCTTCTTGTACTTTTTCAATCGATTCTTCCTGTATTGCTTTGCTAAGTTTCTGCCTATTTGGCATACAAAGATATACTCATACTGATCATATATATATTTAAATTTTTTCTCTAAGAATTTAGAGTCTGAGATTACATCTTGAAAATTTTTATATTGAGATGCCCAACACTGCAGACTTCTATTTAGTATCGATGCTAGTGAGCTTTCAAGTTTGGATTTGATCTTTTCCTCCAACTTATTTTTCATAAATGACAAAAATTCATCATCTCGTCCATCATAATCATTCCACTAATTACCTCTATTATTTTCAATATCAGTTTCAACTAACTTGCTTTTTCCTTTCTGTCTATTATTGTACTTCTTATCACTGTCTTTCCAGTAATTTTTTAGTTTGGCAATTAAATCCACTTTTGTACCATCTGGAGGCAGGTTACATCTTCTACACTTCACCTTCAAGTCTGCTAACCTTAATCTGTTTCAGTCTACCTTAGAAAAAGACTCCTCCTGGATACAGACACTTTCTCTATCTATATCATTCAGGCTAGTTGAGTTATTTTCTATTGAAAGTAAGTTTTTATATAATATATTAATAATTTACACATAAGAGACTGAAAAGCAAAAGTTTACAATTTTTCTTGAGTTTTTGTATATATATATCCTTTTACTTTTTACTTGTGCATATGACTAAGCTAGACACTTCTGTTGAGCTGAAAAACAAAACAAAGCTTTAGAAAACAATCGTTAGGCCTTTAATTGATCTACAATACATGAACTGAATTCTGTATAACTGCAAGAGTCATATGACTCACGATAACCTGCTGCTTTGTAAATTCATTCACAAGTGGCACATTATATAAATAAATAATTTTGTACAAATATATTATATATAATAATTTATATTAGCAAATAGAAATTAAAGTTAGAATTTTAGATATATAAATTTTTGGTTATTTTTATTAGTTTTTTTTTCAGTGTTAAGATGAGGTCTTGTCTCATATCTTTATTAGATAATTTTAAGTATTTGCCTTATATAGCTACATATCTATCTTAAGAATACAAACTTAAACAATTTTATCTATGACCTAAACCTACCAGAATATACTATGTTTTCACTGTATATTGGGTTATACCTAGATTTGGTATTCAGACTATATCTAATTACTTAGCATATTTATCTCATGTCTCACTATCAAAACTTAGTAACTTCCAAATTGGTTCATTTAAGAAATCGGTCTTTAATGATCTTCTAATTTGGTATACCTGTTATAAATACTATTATACTGGTATACCTTTTCATCAAATAGCCTCTTGTATATATTTTTCTAGCCAGGTACTTGCTGCTGCTGCTTGTTTCAAATAAGAAGTATTAGTGTTGGTAAATCCTAACTCTTTTTCATCATAGACTTCTATATAGATATAACCAGAGTTTTGAATTGGTACCTTTGGATATATAGAGATAGATTATATTTTCTATATCAAATAACTTTCTATAATGCTTTCAATTCAAGTTAAAGCCTGATCTTTTATTACAGCCCATAGTTATATATCACTGCTTCTTTCACTATTTTAGTTTTTGGCAGTATTGTATTACTCTTCCAAGCAAGTATCTAATGCCATTCCAAATTAGAACTTATACACACAATTTGTTAATCATCCTTCCAAGCAAGTATCCACAAGTTGGGTGCAGGGATGTTGGTATTGCCAAATGCAAAAGTGATAGGATATTGGTATTGCCTTTGAATTACTCTATTCAAAAAACTTAAATGCACAATCTTTTACTATCTTGACTTTTTGTGATACTGCTATTACACATAGTGCCTACTCTCCACAATCTGGTCTTCTTCTGAAAACCTTTTATTCTAGTTTTGTACTTTTCTACAAGGCTTTACATCTAATTATAGCCCCTGTAGAAGCAAATTTTATTAAAATTTGCCTCCAAACCAACTTGAACCATTGATCTAGTCTGTAGGGGTTTGGAAGCTTAACCAATAAGCTATGAGATTCTAACTGTATTTGTATTAGTTATACTAAATGAGTTATATAAAAA